AAGCTTTGTTCCTGCATCCATTGGTCCATGTAGGTAGTCCTTGAACCCTATTCCTTCCTTCAACATTCCGTACACTTCTAGACCCTCCTTATCCTTGGATTCTTTCCTCAGATTCTGTTCTTCTCACTCGGCACAAGCAACAGATATCATCTCCTTGAACCCCTGTAGACCCTCCGTTTCCAGCGTTTCATCTTCGCTGATGTCGAGCCCCTTCCATACGTCCTCTACAACCTTGACCCATTCCGTGGGTTGTCTACCCCTCTTTTTGTTTGCCCACTTCGCCTCCCATACAATTCTCGGCAACCTCTCCTCTCCCATCCCGNGCTTTTGAGCGTGTTTGTGAGCGTCATTTTCTGTTCTCCCTCTTCAGGTCCTGCCATTCTATCGTCGCCATTGATGCCCACCTACCCCTGTGGTTTCTATTCTCCCATGGGAATTCCTCTCTTACAAGACTGCTCGTTATCTGTCCGTGCGTGCTGTCCGCCTCCCTATGCCGACACTAATAATAGCAGGGTCCACCTGCCCCACTCGTCAAGTGTGCACACAAACCAGAAACACTCCCCGTTGAAAGCAGAACAAAGAAACAGGTGCACAACAACACCAAGCATGCAGTAACAGGGACGGCCCACTGCAATCCACAGAGAACATTGCGCTCACACACACACTGTTCAAGCAAAACGAAATTTTGACATGTTTGCGTGTGCCAATCGGGTCAAATCAACCCCCGTGTGCTCTTTCTCCGACGATAAAGAAAAACGCGTTCGTCGCCCAAGAAAGAAAAAAAAAGTATCCGTACAAATAGCGCCCCCGCCGAAGAACATGGCAAGTGCAAGACGACGAGGCTCAAATCTGCCGACAAGCTAAAGCTCAAAGTCCCTCTTGGAATATTTTGGTGTGGCACGAAGCGTGCTTGTGTCAACCACACCCACTGCGACATCAACATTGATGTGGAACGCTTTCGCCTGAACACGACGACGGGGGCTCTTGTGCTCTACAACAGACTCCATACCCCACGACGAATCGGACGAATAAATCAAACGACATGTTTTCCGAAAGCTCTCCACGAGACGGCTCCGACGCCGCCGTTACCGGTACCGCAACTGTTTGCGGGTGTGGCACAATAGGTACTGCTGTCGGCTCGTTCGTGGAGCGTACCATGAGAACTGACCGAAATCTTTGAGCAGAGCACACGTATCCTACCTTTTCAAAAAATAGAGCATCACACGCACACAGGCACTGGCAGGGGAAAGGGGCTATACAAGATGGATTTGGTGATCCCCCCAGGATTGTACGCAGGAGAGAAGGAAGAGGAACTCTGCACCAAGTCTATGCTTATAGACGTAACAATCGTCAACCCATCCGAAGGTCGAAGCATCGACAAGTCGATGCAAAAGCCAGGATTCGCCCTCGAAGTTCGAGCCGCAAGTAAGGCCAATCACTATGCGGGAACTTTCAACCCGTCTAGATCTACCCTCCTTACTGCTGCTTTTTCAACGAATGGTGGTCTTGGCAAAGGCACCAATCGACTCATCGTTGCTATCGCCAACCACTTGGCGCACGAAGCTTTTTCCGGAGGAACTTTGATGACTAAAGAGCGTTAGTCCGCCTGAAAACTTTTCATACTTACAGGATTCGGAGACGGTTTACCTTCGAGCTAGCTCGTTTTCTGTCCATGCGAACTCGCAATGTGTTCAAACGTCATGGGCTATTGATCGACCAACTCCACCAGGGCCAATCGGTTGGGATCTCTGCGACAACGATAGTAATGAGGGTAATTCTTTTGGGAGTGACGGAGACGAAGGAAAGAGAAAGGGAAGAAAGGAGGACGAAGACGACGATGGAGGAGGAGAACATGGAGGAGTGGAAGAGAGCAAAGGGTTTGAGCCAGATGACCTTCCCCACAACAAGAAACGTAGGGCTAGGGAAGAACTGCCCAGAGATTCTTCTTGTCGAAATGAGGATCAGAATGATGGTAGCGAAAACAAGGAGGACACTGGTGAAAGTACTCCTAAACGAACTCGAGTACTAGGTAATAGCCTTGGTAGACGCGTGCATTTTTCGTCTGTTGCTGCTGTTTCTGTTTTTAATCCGAAGGATAGTTTAGCCTCCCCCATGCTGCCCCCTCACGGGGTCCCAGTTCATGGTAGATAGAAGTGTTTTGTGTTTTCAACCGCACTAAGACTGACGTCTTTTCATTGGTCAGCCGGTTAGCGCGGTCGATGCTTATAATAAAAACACGCACACACACACACACACACATGCTGCCCCCTCACGGGGTCCCAGTTCATGGCAGATAATAGTTTTGTGTTTTCAACCGCACTGAGACTGACGTCTTTTCATTGATCAGCCGGTTAGCGCGGTCGATGCTTATAATAAAAACACGCACACACACACACACACACATGCTGCCCCCTCACGGGGTCCCAGTTCATGGCAGATACAAGTGCATTATATTTTCAACCGCACTAAGACTGACGTCTTCTCATTTGTCAGCCGGTTAGCGCTGTCGGTGCTAATAATAACTAATAAAAAAAAAACACACACACACATCAACAGTTGTTATTCCTAATACCAAGGGACATACATACCTCCAGCTCCCAGCCGTCTTGCCGCTTAGAGCCAGCAGCAGGTCTTCGGCTCCATCCGCATCGGCGGCGGCGGGGCTGCCGCCGTGTTCTCCCCCACTACCTCCCCCGCCTACCGCCGCCGCCGCTCCTACTACCACTCCGACTCCTCCCGCCGCTGAGATTCCTTCCGTTCCCCCCACCGCCGCTGCTGCGATTCCGCCAGGGCGCCACGCCCCGCCAACACCACCGCCGACATCGCCACCGCTGCCGTCGAGCCTGGCCGGTTGGCCCTTCACCCCTACCGCTCCACCGCCGTTACTGCAAGGGCCGCCACCGCCGCCAGAGAAAGCGGCGGCAGCAATAGGAGCAGCAGCGGGAGCAGGGAAGGCGGAGGGGCGGAAGGCAGAAGCGACGATGGGCAGCTGCTGCTGCCGCTGCTGCAGCGGTGGTGTTGTTGTTGGTGGTGGTGACGGTCGAGGAGGGGGGAGAGCCGGCGCACGGGTGCTCCGAAACTTGGCCAGCCGTGTGCGCACCATCCCAACTTGCGAGTGCCGTTGACAAAACACGGGAACGGCGGAGCCCGGAGCGCCGTAGGTCGGCGGGTGCTCGCAACCCCGGTGACCGCACCTCTTGATTCGGACGTCGATCATACCGGGCTCCGCATGTCGCTGGCACAGCTCGGGCTTGGCGGAGCTGCCCTCGAAGCCGTGGCTTGGTCGGATCGTGCAACCTCGAGTCCCGCACCTCTTGTTGCAGACGTCCACCATATGGGGATCCGCGTGCCGAGCGCAGAACACCGCCCTGTTGCTTCCCTCCACGCCGTAGCTGGGCCACGTGTTGCACCCCTGGCGGCCGCACCTCTTGCTGCGGACGTCGACCATATTGGCCAGCGCGTGCCGCGTGCAGTACTCCGCCTTCTTCGTGCCGTCGACGCCGTAGCTTGGCCTGGTGGTGCAACCTTGGTGGTTGCACCTCTTGGAGCGGACGTTCACCATACCGTCTGCCGCATGTGTGGCACAGAACTGCGCCTTGGTAGTCCCGTTGATGCCGTAACTCGGTCGCGTGGTGCAACCGGCGTGGCCGCACCGCTTGCTCCTCACGTCGATCATGTTGTCCTCCGCGTGCTGGGCGCAGTACTCGGCCTTGGTGCTCCCGTACTTGCCGTAGCTTGGACGCTTGACGCAGCCCTTTCGACAGCACTCCTTCACCATCCTCCGCTATGTATGTCTAGGGGTATGATAGTAAATTTGCAGGACACTCCTGTACTCTTTAGTCGCCGCCTCCCTCTCTCGCTTTCTGCTTCTCTCCGGCTGGGATCGTGCCTGTCGAGCTTAGTCTCTCTGCCAAACCTGATCATCAACCATGCTTTGTGCACATCAAGTGTCAAGTGCAAGTGGAGCAGGGGGGTCTACAGACAAATTTACGATGTGTAGGCCCAGATACGTCCACAATTTCAGCTGCGTGCACCCCAGGTGCGCCGAGCATGTTCGTGTGTTGTGATGTTGCGCATATGTGGATGCAGCGTGTGTTCATCGCTCTTGTCCGGGATTATGTGTTGTATCATACGTTAGTTTTTTCGATGCACTGGCTCGCCCCCGGGGACGTGGTGGACCAAACGACGTCTTTGTCTGCTCGAAGATACTTGCTTACGATTTTTTGGAAAAATAATAAATCTCTGTTCTGCCGGATCGCGGAAGGATTTCAAGACAGAGACCAGACGCATAGCTCAACATGAGATTATGGATCGTGAAATTAGGAGTTTTGAGGCAGGGGGTGAAAACTTCGGTGTCGGGAATGATGTTTGTGGACAATTTTGTTGGGATGTCTGACAACCCTGAGGGGTTTCAACAAACTGCAGGATTTGTCGCCGCAAAGGAATTGATTTGCTGGTGGAGGATCTATAATAGTAGTCTAGACTATATACATAGACTATAGTCTATGCTCCCCAAACCTGAAACCTGAAAATCCCTCAACCTTAACAACAACTAATTCAGATAAAGCCCCTATATATCATATTGATTGTCTGCCAAGTACAACTAACTCTGTGCCGTCATGGTTTGCAACGAGGACAGGAACAAACCAGTCCAGTATTATTATAGATGAAAGTGGGGGGTCGAGGAGCTTTCGTACGCATCAGTACGCGTAATCTCGGAGAGTAGAGATCTCACAAGACTGCTCGTGGAATGCACACAAACTGCACATGTCCAAGGTAGCGGGAAAAAAAAAGGCAAAGAAAGCACGATCAGGGAAGCTGTGCACCCAATACTCATAACAAACCGGTATAACTCGATACACGCATCAAGTGGCAGTGTACTCCTACTGCCGCTAGAGTACGCCGGAGAAGTACATGGGAACGGAAACGAAGGTAGTCAAAGGGCTCGAGGCGGCGCATATAAAAGCAGCGGAAATCGTCCTGTAGCAAAACGTGGACGGACGAACAGGGAGGAGGAGATGTTTGAGGCATGGAATAGCCAGGAGAACACGGTAACTGTGCTGGGGCATAGGTAGCAGTGGGTTGAATAGGCGGCAATTGATATCGATAGGACAGATAGATAGACTAGGGACGACAGTTTTTGAGCCACCTTTTGCAAAGAAGGAAGGAACGAGATGCCATTGGTGATCGGTCCTGTGGGAACAATGCTTCGTCCTCTCGAGGACCCGTGCTCAATTATCTAACCGCTAAGGCTTGCAAAACATAAGAGTACGCCCCCCCCTCCCCCCCCTCCAACACACTCCAGTAGCGTTTTCGGGAGTCAATCACCTTCATCGAGAGAGCATTGATGTTCTACACCTTCTGGTCGAGTGGCACAAAGCATAGTATTATTTTGGTGCACCAATGGACGCGAGTCACTCACCACGCGCTGTTCGTAGGGCTACGTACCAGAGAGAATATACATGTACTTCTTTCCAAGGTACGAATGGTGCATACCCATCAACTCCCTACACCAAAACAAGCTGCATCGTCTCGCTCTTGCTTTGTTTCCTCACAGGGGGCACGAGCACCTTGCCTCGTGCATAACAAGGTGTTGCTGCACTTCAATACAATGACTGCCCACTGTACAAATGGGATTGGCTGCTGCCCGCACCAGACTGCTCTTGCATGATTAGTCTAGATGAAAACACGCACAAAAGAACAGCGCCGCTGGAGCAGACTGCCTTCTTCACGACGGCGATGAAATCTCGAATGACATTGACAGGTGGATGCGAGCAAGGTATTTTGCCTCTCCCCGGCGTACCACCGCCATCAAGAAGAACAACCTCTCATCTTGGCTCAGTGTTACATATCTGAAAAGAATCGCGCCAAACACCGCCGAGCAACATGAACCAAATCGGCACCAAACCTTCCCGCAACCGGCACCAGTTGCACCACGCGAACAGATTTTCCCTCTTCGCCCTCTGCAGTTTATGACTGCCTTACCTGCGCAATCCCTACGTATGCCCCCCACCCCGCGTGTTCCATAGTCGTGAGGCCTCAACTGGGCGTGCAAAGCAACGAGCACTCATCACCCCGCCCCCACGCGCACGGCAGTTGACTCTTGCGGCAAGCAACATCACCATCATCACTGAATCCGGCAGTTGACTTTGCGACAATCACCACCACCGCCATCATCAGCACCTCCGGCGATTGACCCTTACAAGGAAAACCACCACCACCATCATCACTACTGTATCTCCGGCAGTTGACTTTTGCGCCAATCACCATCACCAGCATCGCTTCATGCCTTCGGCATTTGACTTTGCGACAATCACCATGACTTTCATCAGTGTTTCCGGTGGATGACTTTTACGGCAATCACCACCACCATCATCACTATCTCCGGCAGCTGACTTTTGCGCCAATCACCATCACCAGCATCGCTTCTTTCCTCGATCTCATTTCATTTCCCGATGCAAAAGTCTCTGAAGATGACGTCCAGCAGCTCTTCCACTCCGACGGCCCCCGTGATGCGCCCGAGTTCCGAGCTCGCGATCCGAAGTTCCTCCGCCGCCAGGTCCAGCGGCATCTGCGGCCGCTGAGCCGCGCGCAGCGCCAGCAGGCACGCTTCCACGTGCTGTCGATGCCGACGCCTGGTACATATGTATTCAGAAGAACGGGCCCGGAGATAAGAAAGGGTCGAGGCTTAGTTTCTAACTTCATGGCCACCACTTTCGAGCACACATATGTGAAGAGTCTAGTCCAGGATCCACCGCTGAGCTGTGTTCACCATGTTTCAATATTTTTTTATCCTCTGTTTCTTGACGAAAACTTTACCTCGGGCCCATTCTATATCGGTGAGGGAGGGGACGGGCCGGGGCCGGAATGAGGGCAGTGACTTTCTACTCGTAGGTGGTTTTTCTGGTCGCCGTTGATAACTTCACTGCAATTGGTTTCCTGGCAAAGCGCTACTGTACGAACAAACCGTAGAGATACTGTACGAACAAACCGTAGAGTCAACAAAAAGTGGAGGGTGTTTGTCTATCTTGGCACATGCCTTCATGCCTTCGCCACTGGACGAACGGCCGCTCACCCTTCTCGAAATGATGTGTGCACCAACGGAACGCTTCGCCTATTTGTAGGAGTGTTGCGCGTCTCCCCCCCCCCCCCCCCCCCCCCCCCCCCCCCCCCCCCCCCCCCCCC